AAAGAACTGAAAGACACTTTACAGGAAATTCTTGGGAAAGGAAAGAAGGTTAAGCTTGAACAGAAGGTAATGTCATGTCCTACCCTTTTGAGTTTTAAGGGTCAAACGGGTTATTTCAAGATGTGAAAAATCATTAAAAAACGTTATAATTGTAGAAAACAAATTGATAACCTTCTAAAATCTTGGGAGCTAGTAAAAGACAAATGATAATTTAAAAGATATCAAGTGGTCTGAAAAATTCATATTTAAAAAAAAAAACGTATTTGAGAAAACGAGGGCATCCCGGAGGAAATAGAAAAAGAAAAAAGAGTAAATTACTAATTTAGTCCCAATGGTTTACACAAAACTGCAAGTTCAATCCAAACATTGAAATTGTCCCAATAATGTCCTATTTTGTTGCGGATATGGTTCCTGTGTTTAACTCCAAATTGCAAGTTTACTCCAAAAATTGAAGTCATTATTATATAGCCACAACACAATGCAAATCTAAGGACAACATTTTGGACGATCTCAAAATTTGGACTGAACTTGTGAGTTTTAGTAGAGTATAGGGACCAAAGTTGTAGTTTACTCGAGACAAACAATTCAGGACAAAATTGTAATAGGTTAGCACATAATCAGACGCTGATTCATCTTTTTATATCAGATTGATCCAAGTATTCTTGGTGGGCTTGTGGTGGAATTTGGTCAGAAGGTGTTTGACATGTCCATAAAGACACGTGCCAAGCAAATGGAGAGGTTCTTGCGAGACCCCATCAACTTTGATGCCTAAACCGCTTGTGTTTGTTGTTCTTTAATCATTTACACTCCAGGCTTTTTGAAATTACTTTCTTGCCCTCATGATAGCCTTCGTTTTTCATTTCTTTCCCCATGGGTTTGTTTGTGCAAATAAGAAACCGTTGAGGTATTGTATTCTCTTGGTATACATGATTAAATACTGGGGGATATCTTTCATGATAAAGATCGAGAAGGATATTTATGTTATTTTGTACAAAGGATAGACCGAAAGCTGGTTTCTGTCCTATGTTCCAAGTTTTTAGACATGACAAAAATTTGTTATTTTTCTCCCATTAACATTTGATTTAATCTAGGGCGTGTTTGACAAATATAGTTGGTAATTAATAGATATAGTTGGTAATTAGAAGCAGGAAGGTGTAACTTTTACTCTATTAAAGTAGAATTGTTTGCTAAAAATTCATAAAATTTCCAAGTATTCAAATTTACATAAAAGTTAAAAGATAAAAACATAACACGTATTTTGTTTTTTTATTAACTGTTAAATGATATATGTTTTTTTTTAAAACATTTTATGACTTAAAATTGTATTTATCAAAACATTGTCCCCTAAAAACAAAATAGATTGTATTTGTTTCAAAAGACAACATGAAGCGTTACAACAAAACCATAGTAAAATAGTAAATATATACATTCTAAACCATATCCAACTTTTATTTTGTTATATCTTTCAAAAGACTACTACTAAAGTCAAAGTCTTCTAACCATTCATAGATGAACTTGAGATACATGACATCTAAACTAAACATATGTTATATAAAATTGTATCGTGAGTTACATAAGATTTAGACTATGAATGCACTTGAGATACATGACATCTAAACTAAACATATGTAATATAAAATTGTATCGTGAGTTACATAAGTTTTAGACACAAGAGTATTATCAAACATTTGATAAAATGCTTTACTTTAATAAATTTTTAAACAAATACTAGCTATACAATGTATGACCTCACATAATGCGGACCTATGGGTCGTCCTATTGGGTTTTCTATGTATCTATACACACGATCATAACAACGGAAACAAAACAGAATACATATGTTTATATGCACCCTAGGATCTAGGTTTTTACTAGTATTAGCAACCTACTTTAAAAACAAACTAAACAAGGATAATAACCTCTTGTTGCTTTGATTGAGACCTCGTAATTGTAGCTATTGCAATGGATGAAAGACCCAATGGATAATCCATCTAATGTAGTTAGACCCAAAACTCCAAAAGGTAATAAGGAAGAACCCTTTTGAGAGGTTAAAATTGCAAATCACTAACCTAC